TTACTTCATATATAAATTAAAGATTTCAAATAAATCTTCATGAAATTAATTCTTAGATTTCCAAAAAAATATTAAATAAATGATGCCAATAGATCTCAAAATTCTTTGAAAAATATAAAACCGATTTCTAAGAAAATTTAAATATATTATTGATAAGAATATATATCAAATATATAAATCAAAATAAGAATTCGTAATTGTGGGGAAGATCGATAGCAACGCGGGAAATTCGACAAGACTTTCGAATCCGAGTATCGGATAAGATAATCCCAGATATATATAATTCCTCCTTCATTATTTTGATCGCTCGACCTTCTAATATCGTGAGGATCTTCCTGAATTTGAATCTCGAATCCCGATCCGGAATCCTAAATCCTGATCCCTGAATTCGAATCTCGAAGCTCGAATCCCGAATCCCGAACCGGAACCCCGAATACCGAACCTCGAATTCCGAACCTCGAGCCCCAAACCCCGACCCCGAAGTCCAAAATCCCAAACCTAAATCCCGATCCCCGAATCCTGAACCCCGAACCCTGAAATCGAATCCCGAACCTCGATCTCCGAACTCTGATCCCCGAATCCCGAACTCTCCGAACTTGAACCTCGAATCCCGATCCGGAACCCTGAATCCTGAACCCTGAATTCGAACCCCGAACCTTGAACCTCGAACTCCGAACGGGGATATTAAAAATAAAATATAAAATAATATAATAGATTCTGAATCTCTTAAATTAAATTCATTTTCAGAAGAAGTCGGGCTCTCCATTATTTTCCCCGCAATATTTCCCTTTCTTCTCTTCTTTATATATAGTCAAAGTCTAATTTATGTATATTCAATAAATAATATTTTCTACTTAATTTTTTAGAAAGAATTCGTCTAATATTAATACGAAGAATATAAAATATCGGGCACCAAATCCGAGATTATAAATTATATATAAAGAGAATATCTCGAAATATAATTCCTAGGATCGTGAATCTTCGAGAAATTTATAGCACTAGCAGCACTAATAATATATATATAATCTTCTTAAGATCATAAATTCCCTGAATATCATAAACAAATCTTATCTGAAAGATATTCATCTAAAGAAAATTAAATTAATATATTTCATTTTTAAATGAATAAATAGAATACTAAATTTAATAATTATTCGATAGTTTCTGAATATATTTCTATTCTTTTCTTAATAATTTTCTGATTCTTTTCAAAAAAATTTTAGATAATAATTATTAATTTTAAATTTTCCATTATAGATCTATTGCCAAAATCTCGTAAGATAACCAAATCTTATATTAGATATTTGAGTTAGTCAGCAGAGCTTCTGAATTTAGGTACGGCCCAAGGCTCGATCACGATCCGACGACTTGCCACGAAGGCTTTGGTGCTCCGTGAAGGCACGAATTATACTAAATGCTGCTCGCTTTGAGCGGCCACGAGCTATCACCCCTCGTGCTAGAAAATCTTGTCTCATCACCCCGTCCTACCTCGTACGCCCTAGCATACTCAGCATACCCATCTTCAACTCCTACGCAGCATACTACACGCTATCAAATTAGTAACACCTGGAACAAGAACTCATATTCCAAGATCCACGTTGCTATATCCGTGTCCTACTCACTGTTGCCAACACCCTAACTCATAAATCCTTCAACCCCAATCCTGAAATATCTAAGCCATACAGCCCAACACGCAAACTCTAACCCTAAATCCTACTCTTCCAAAATCACGAACTTGGGCTCCTCCAGCTGCTCAGAATTCTCGAAGTACTCGCCACCGAAGAAGGGATCTTCCAATGCCTGCCACTGCGACTCAAACACCCCTGTCGGCTTTCAGGGTGTAGGATTGTGCGGATTGCGGGCTTCACAGCTTTAGGGCTTTACTTTAAGGGTTTTAGGGTCACGGGTTGAAGGCAGTCCGATGGCATTGCAAAGCCGTCTCGTTCCCTGCCCTTCTTCACTTCTTCACCCTCTACATGTGTCTGTCGATTGCAGTGTGGCTTCAGAGCATCCCTAGCTGATCTCGAAGTCGTGCTCATCATGCCTCTCCCCAACAATTGAATCCTTTATGGGCTACCCAAAACTCAAAACCATCAGAAGCTGCCCAAGTCAAACCGGAGCAAAAGGCGACCTTCCAGGCATCCTCGCCCTCCGCCATCTCGGCATCCGTCAGCAGCGCTGTGCCAAGCTCGGCTTCAATGCCCGCCTCGCGAAGGCTTTCGGGCTATCCGGGGATCGAGGTTGCGGCGTTGAGGTTCGAAGCGTTCTGGGGAGCAGGGGGTCAGGCGACATTGGAGTCTAGAGTCTAGAGTGTTAAGGCCTTGTCCAGCCCGACACCAATGAAGACCAGCATGGTTCCTCTGTCGCCATGCTCGGCATGCCAGGAGTCCGTTGCTACCAGCTCTCCTTGGCCATTGCAGCTTGCAGGGCCAACCGACAACGGGTAAAATTCAGATAAAACACTCCAACAACAATGAGGCTAACTTGGAACATATCTCTGTAATACTCGTGGAAGGCCTCCTCCCACTCCTCTCTGGGCATGGCTGCTAGGAAGGGCACCACTGATGCCCCTAGCTGCACGTGCCGACCTGCCACATGGAGGTCGATGGGTCTGGCGTTGGCGGTGGCGAGCCAGAGGTGTCCCTTCGCACGCACCACACCGGCAAACACAGTCGGAGCGGCAGTGCTGTCCGCTGTCATGGTGCTGGCGTAGTCACCGACGCCTGCTAGAACAGTAGCCAGCCGACCTGGGTGAAATGGTCGCTCGTGGCTGCGGAAAACCATGCTCGAGATGTTGTACTCCTCCGTCTCAGGGGTGTGTCCAGGGCCCCCCTCTGCAGCTTTCGCCAACTCCTGCATCCACCCTGCCGAAGACTCCGCTGCTTCCATGTCGAAAAGATGGGTGTTTACCAGCTCGTTTAGCGGCACATCCGCAAACTGCGGCTGGGCAGGCACTATGATCCTGGCAGAAGGGTTGAGCTTCTGGAGCAAGGCACGAATCTCCTGCACTGCACCTTCGTCCTTGACAAGGTGTGCCTTGCTCAGCAAGATCACATTTGCAAATTCGATCTGGTCCAGCATCAACTGCGCAATGCTGCGGTCATCAGTTTCTATGTCATTGCCGGTCATTCCGGCGATGTTTGTCTCGTTGAGCATCTCCAGGCTACTCAGCACATCGTAGATGTTCAACGCGTCCACTACAGTGACCATCGTGTCCAGGCGAGCGAAATGGGACAACGACTGGAGTTCCGAAGCGAGCTCACCATCGTCGCCGGCAGACATGTCGACCATGTCCGCAATCTCCATTTCCTGCCCTTCAATCGGGCGCTCTATGACCTCCTCCCAGTCTCCCCCCATGGCATCCTCGGGCAGGATCTCCTCCTCAAAATACTCCTCGTCCGTATCCCCCTCCTCCAAATCATCTACATCCATTACGAAGGTCTGCGCCACAGGCATGGGTTCTGCTATGCCCGTGGATTCAATCACCAAGTAGTCGAATGCCTTCTCCTCACTTAAAGCCTTCACGGTCTTGAGCAAATCACCTCTCAGAGTGCAGCAGATGCAACCGTTGTGCATCTCCACCATAGTGGCTTCCTCCTGGATCAACTTCGAACTCTTGATCTCCGATGCATCGAGGTTCACGTCTCCCATGTCGTTGACGATCACGGCCACCTTTGGCACATATTGGTCAGGACCGTCAGGGCAACATGCTTTGTCGCCAGAACCCGCCGAGCGTAAAATGTGCTTCAACAGGGTCGTCTTGCCGGAACCCAGGAAGCCAGAAAGCACGGTGACTGGGAGCAGCTCACCATTCTCCGCCGCATCATGCCACCGTGCGGCAGCTTCGTCACACTCTGGACATCCTGTCACCTTTCCTGCCCTCTCCGTCACTTCAACTGCAGCAACGTCTGCGCTGAATCGGGTCACGCCTTTCCGCGGCCTGGCTCGCTGCCGGCTCGCTGCCGGCACAAAGGTAGCGAGCGCACCGAAAGCCCAAAGAGAAATCGGAGCCCTCTCCCTGGTCGCGCCTGTGCCTGTGCCTCTGTCCACTGCTCTGCAGCTCAGCCCGCGGGCCCGGAACCCGCCATGGCTTTGGGCTGGACCGGGAGCCCGTAACGCAGGCGCAGGCAAGTGCAGCGCATGAGGCCGACACGTCGCGGCCATGGCGAACACCAAGCTGCTCCTCTCTAGCTCCCCAAAGCTTAGAGGAAAAACTCAAGGTCCAAAATCTAGGCATGTCAGCTGAGGGGTTGTGTTACAGCGAAGGTGGGGGGGGGACCTTCTGCGGTTTGCGCTCTCTTGAGCATGGGCCGCAGAAAGGAGATAGACAAACCTTCTTCCGGAGATGTTCTGCAGTGCTACTGAGCTAAGCACAGCAGGAAGGAAAGGCCATGCGTCCGTAGAACTCTTGCATCGTTGGCTTATGGAGACTGCCACAAAAGTTCTTGACATCGCCGGACGATGCCCACAACTGGCTACAACCGCTCGTATCCTGACAGCAAGCTACCCATGACGCAAACGACTGGATCACAGCACAAGGCATCTCTTTTCTTGCTGCATCGTCCACCGTTTGCACATTTGTACAAAATTGAAACGCATTCCTTCGTGAAGAATCGGGTCAGCCCGTTATCGCGCCGAAAGACGCGCCAACTTTGAGTTAAACTTCAGAACACGGCCGGGCTTTCAGGCGTGCAACACAGTCATTCCACTTGCACACTCTCAAAAGAGATCGTTTTGAGAGTGCGGAATCCAGAAACCAGCGGCGCACATCCTGCTTCACGTACGGTCGCAGGTGAGCATCGTGTCCCTGAACCCAACTGCGCTCGGCGGTGCAACAAACACTCCCGGGATGACGGCTGGCGACCCGTGGGGCCACATCCTATTCGGGAAGTGACCCATGCTTCGCTGAAGAGTCGCAAGAATCCTTGCGGGAAACTTAGTCCGCCCTAGCACTTAGCTGGACTGGACAGCACCTCGCTCCTTCGCTTGTGCATCCAAGCCTAGCGGCCCAGCCACTGACCTCTCCTCCCCAAAGATCGGTCCTTTGGCGGTCTGCCGGCAGCGAAGCCAGGAGCCCCAAAGACCCTTGCCGGCCGTCGGCGCTTCCTGGCCGCAGACGGACTGGCAAGCATCGATGAGGATGAGCACTTGGAAGCCGTGATCCCGCAACGCTGACTTCATTTGTCTCACCCCCACCCCCACTTGAGAGTTCTTCCCCAGCTCAACCAATTCGAGAAACCCGACAACTCGGCCTTGTCGTGTTCGAGCTTCAGAAAGATCGAAAGGAACAGGGCAAGAGTGAGGCTAAGTAGCGAAACTGCCTGCCTGTGAGTGGTGGACTGAGGCTGAGCAGAGCTGCTGCAGCTACTACCACTGCTGCTACTACTACTACTACTACTACTACTACTACTACTACTACTACTACGACGACTGCTAGTCCGATAGAAACAGGACCGGCGGAGTTTGATTCAATCGCAGGACGGACTGATACGGTGAAGCGGACTTCACTTTTGCAAAGGAACCTGCGCGGCTGCCGCAGCTGCTCGTGGAGACGCTCTCTGATGTCCCACGAGCTCACCACCGCGATCTAGGATTTGAGAGGAGAGGCTTGGAGGCTTTGGCAGCTGGCTTCGATCATTCCTCTGGCTTTGAAGTCCGTGTAACAGGGCTCAGAGAAGTAACTAGGCTGACAGCAAGCCCGCACCCCAAGATGTCGAGGCTTCGGCGTCGTGGTGGACAGATTCCGACAACCTGCGAGGCACGTAGCACAAAAGGCCGGCCAGTGCAGCTACTAGCCGCACGTCTGATCTAGCAATCGGGTCCGCTAAATTAGCAACGCCGGGAGCCATCAAAGTGCCGAGTCACCAGACTTTGCAGGATCTCTCGAAGTACAAAGCTCGCTTCATTGCCATCTCCTGGGTGTACGAAGCAGATATTTGGCTTTGTTCCTGTGGGTTTAGGGTTTTGGGTTTAGGGCTTAGGGCTGAACAGACTTGGCGTCACGGGCTTTGGGGACAACGCTGGCTACGAAGCGTCTGGCGAACACTCACATCGCCGAGAATCGCCGTTGGTGCCGAAGATGAGGCGAACGGGATCTAGGCCTGAAGATTGGACGCTTGTCCCCTCTCGCAGGATGGGAACCCTTCCTAAACCCTTCGGAGCTTCGCCAAAAAAGCACCTGCCCAAGGTTTCAAACTCCCAAAAGCCCCGATGAGCCTCGACCCTCGACTCGACGCGTCGAAACCCCCCCATCTCTACCTGCCATTGCAGCGTAGTGGCCGGACTCCTTTCTCACGAAATGGCAGGGGCTCACGAACTCCAGGGCGACGGTCGAAATGCGGACGCGAGGCCTGGGTGCCAGGGCGCCGTCAGCTTTGGTGCTCTCAAGCCACTTCCGATTTCTGATATGGGTTGCGGATCCGGGCCTCGTCTGGCAGATGTTGTCAGGATCGACGACTCCACGTGGCGGCTTCGAGGCCCTGGGCTTGGCTCTCAGCTCGAGTAGCTTCGAGGGGGTCTCCGCCTTGAACGTGACAGCTATCACTAGTAAAGGCCTGCAATGCCTCTGCTGCAATGGCCAGCAAATACGAACTGTCTGGATAAAATTGTGGGCCCTTTTGCCCTTGCTTAGCAAGCCCTCGCGAGAAGTGACAGATGCCGGGAAAACCCACCGTTAGCTGTATCACCGCCGCGGACAAAATCCACTAGCCGCTGCACCGAGGCGCCGGTCGTCCAGAGTGCAGATGCCGCGCGGTGAGATCCCGAACGTCTGGCCGATTGGACAGTCTTCAGAATTTGAATCTGGTTTGCCCACAAAACAGAACCTGAAACTACAGAATCCTCATTACACTATAATAGTGCTATATGGGAGTTGTTGTTGGTGGGTTGCGGCTTCACAGCCTTTCTGACCCTCCATAATCCCGAAACCAACCTGGAGCCTGGAGCCTGCGAGCGGTCGCAAAGAGATTCTCTACTGCCAACCTCTGAGGGGGTTTTAGCCCGGCTTAGCTATCGGAGGAGCGCCGGGGGTTTGATTGGAGAGTAGGACGGGTGGCCCACCAAGCAGGCCTCCAACTGGCGCGCGGCATGGCAGGCGAAATGATTGCCGTAACTCCTTAGGGTGGCTCGGAATTCACGACACGATCTGAGATTTTGCGGAGCGGTTACCGAGAACCACCGATCCTTCCCTTTATTGGGGACTAGGTTCTACGCTGGCGGAACTCGAAAGCCCGGGTTCGGAATGGGATTTCCCACACTCTCAAGCCCAGAGTAGGTTTGATGCTAATTCGAAGGACAAGCCGGATACAAGTTGAAGCTAAGCTCAAGTCAAGCAGGGGTTGGTGTCCGGGTTGTGAGCTCGTGATGCTCGTCGGGACAGGCCGTCCTAATGACTGAATCGATCCATGACCGTGCATCCAGCGCTTGTCGCAGATGACCGACTGGTAAGGCGAGCGACCAGCCCACCAGCATCAGCTCCCAGGAGGCCGCGGCGCACCTCGAAAAGGAGACAAAAGCACAGCCTCAGAGGAGACTCATCATATGGGTGGTTGTCAAAATTATGGTCCCTTTTTGGGTCCGTAATATAATATGGCACCTACTATTTAAGGTATCCAAAAAGGGACCCCAATTTGACAACCATGAACGTCATCAGCGGACAAACCACACGTACGCAGTGACCCTAATGTAGGAAACTGATTAACAAACCCTGCCCAAAAAACACATCAGAAAGGCCGAGGCGAGGCCTGGCCTCCGCAGCAGCTGCGTGAGCCAGGGCGTGGAGACCAAGTTCTGGGCGACGGAGAGCAAAGCCTGAACCCTCGGCGCCAAGAGGAGCTCTTTTCCTACGAACGGTTGCAGGGAATTCCTGCGGGGCTTGGGAACGGAGGTCCGCGAGAGGTTACTGCTTGAGCCCGAAGATTCTTCGGGAAGATATCCAGGAGGTCTTGAAGCGTTCTAGAGATTCAATTGTGGATTGTTTGCGCTGTAACTTCTACGTCCGTCTACGTAGGCCCCTGCTGTTGTATCATCTCGTCTCTGTTCCTGTTGTTGCAGATCGTGATGCTGCCGACGTTGCTGATGTAAGAACGGTAATGATGTCATCGGAACTTGAAAGGGGATTACCATATTTAGGTGTTGGCCTCAGTGGTAGGTAGTCTTGCCATAATGATCCCAGGACTCCGGCTCTTAAGTCCGACGTTCCACCTTCCCGCGCTCATCCCTGTGCACAACAAGCGAACCATCCCGAAGAACTAAGTCCCAATAGTCTCATAGCCATGGGGCCGCAGCTCGTCCACCGGATCGATGCTCCAAACTTCATGTGCCGCCAACACCCTGGGAAGGCTTAGGGGGCTGTGCGGGCCTGCAGTGCCTGGGAATGACCTTTACGTGTAGGATAGGCTTGCCTCTTGACGTCAGACTACACCGCAGAAACCATGTTGCTCTTGGCCGAGTGTGAGGACGAATAGAGGTGGGGCTTCCGGGTGCGGGGCGTACGATTCATTCGGATTCAGTTTTCAATTCAGGCTTTAAAGTTTTACGCGCCACGGGTCTATGGCTCAGGCTTTAAACTCGTTTGGCTTTAGGCTTACAGGTTTAACCCTTTAGGTATGAGCATTCAGGGTCTGGCATACTTAGGCTTCTTTGGGGGGTTTAAGCTTAGGGCTATTGGTTTTAAGCTTTATGGAGTTAAAGCTAAAGCTTCAGCTGCAGATATCAGGTTGTAGGGCTTGCGCTGTGAGTGCTTAGGATCTATAGGCTTTCCCGTGTGCGTTACGGGGTTAAGGTTTACGGTTTTGGTTCGGGGCTTGGGCCTTCACAGCTCTTGTCTGACGTCTGGAATCTACGCTGTAGGCTTAGCCGTTTAGCTTTTAGGTTCGAGGCTTTTTACTGACCATGAACTTTTCGGGGTTAAGGTTCGGCGAATCTCGTGTCTGGGATCCTGCTCAGGGGTTCGGCAGGTTGTTCGCGGGTTGATCACACTACGTTTCCTGCTCCTTGCTCTTGAAGGCTTCGGCTCCAAATCAGCAGTTTAGTTTCCAGACTGATGAAGCGACTTCAAACAGTCGTTGGCCTTAACAGGCTATAAGGCTTGCTCCCCCAAGCTCCATGATCCCGGATGGAGTACTGCACGCACATGCAAGACGTTGCAAGATGTCTCAACATGCCCGACCCCGCCCGGGCCCATGAACTTCTTAACAAGGCGCTGTAATTTTAGAAAAACCTTTCTGCAATTGTGCCCCCCCATCTTACAATTAATAAGGGAGGGGGGATTGGCCGGATGAAACATCGCAAGATTGATGACTCAACAACAGCAACAGTTCCAGATAGAACTAACAATGGTATTGTGCCAGTAGTGGGTTATGGCTGCAGCAGCGAGAGAGGTGTAGCAGCAGCAGCACCGGAGGTGGTAAATGTTGTGATAGCAGCGGCAGCAGTGGCAGTCGGTAGCGCGAGTGGATTCTGCTGATTCCGCTGCTACTGCTACTACTACTGCTACCAC